AAACTGACCATACCTTTGCTACACCCACCAGCCAATCGGATGAGCATGCAAATTAACCAAAGATGGTGGTTAATTTGCATACATAGGTGCCCAGTGGCAATCGGAGCCTGCAATCAGAGCTGAGGGGTCTCCTGCCCAGGCCTCACGCCTTGAGGAGTTAGGCCTGGGCAGGGACAGAGCCAGCGATGGCGGGGAGCAGAGAGGGAGCCGGCGATGGCGGGGAGATGGGGTTCCCCTGCCCAGGTCTAATGCCTTGGCCACAGGCTTAGGCCTGGGCAGGGGTGGAGCCAGCAATCACGGGGAGCTGGGGCGGAGCTGGAGATGGCGGGGAGCAGGGAGGGAGCTGGCGATGGCGGGGAGCAGGGAGGGAGCCAGCAATGGCGGGGAGCAGGGGCGGAGCTGGCAATCACAGGGAGCTGGTGGTCCCCGGCCCAAGCCTAACGTCTGGGCCACAGGCGTTAGGCCTGGGCAGGGGCAGAGCTGGTGATCACAGGGAGGAGGGGCGGAGCCGGTGATGGTGGGGAGCAGGGGTGGAGCCGGCAATCACGGGGAGCTGGGGGTCCCCGGCCCAGGCCTAACGCCTTAGCCAGAGGCGTTAGGCCTGGGCAGGGGTGGAGCCAGTGATGGCAGGGAGCAGGGAGGGAGCCGGCGATGGCGAGGAACAGGGGTAGAGCCAGCAATCACGGGGAACAGGGGCAGAGCCGGCGATGGGGGGAGTCCTGCTCCCCACCATCGCCGGCTCCGCCCTTGCCCAGGCCAAAGCCTGTGGCCGAGGCATTAGGCCTGGGCAGGGGAACCCCCAAGGGGAGCAGGGAGCGGGCCTAAGCCATCAGTAGGACATCCCTGAGGGCTCCCAGTATGTAATAGGGGGCAGGCTGGGCTGAGGGACGCCCCCCTCCAGTGCACAAATTTTTGTGCACCGAGCCTCTAGTTTAATTTATATTAGACTATAAATAGATGACAGGTTCAAATATGTTAATCTTCTAGGGTGATGGTCAAGAATAATCTGAGGGCTGAGATACTGCTGACAGGAAGAGTAAAGTAATACTAAATTAAAAACATCTATCTATCAAGGCAGGGAGTCCAAAGAAGATGGATATAGTATCACACTGACATGGGAAGTATAGGACCCTTCACCTTAGATGGGATACTGTAGTCCCAGCTTCTGATAATCACCTTTCATTTAAAAAAAAAAATCATTTCTCATTTCATAGCTACACCCAAATGAGTAGAATAAAAGCTTCAAAACAGAAAATTCAATATTGTAACAATGCCAATTTTACCCTGTAGGTTCAATGTAATCCCAACAAAAAAATCTCAGCAGGTTATTTTTTCCAAAAATTGACAAGCTGATTTTAACATCATAAGAAAATGCAAAAGATCAAGAATAAATAATGCAATCTTGAACAAAGTTGAAGGACTTATAGTATCAGTTACCAGGACCTGTTTTAAAGCTATAATAATTCAGACAAGATGGTGTTGGTGCACGAATAGAAAAACTCACCCGTGGAACAGAAGAGAAAGTCTAGAAACAGCCCCACACTATGAGTTTATGATGAAAGTGACAGTACAGGAGAGACCAAGATGGCGGCATAGGTAAACACCGGAGATTGCTGCCGCAAACAACCACTTCAAAAATACAACTAAAAGACGGAACGGACATCACCCAGAACCACAGGAAGGCTGGCTGAGGAGAGACTCTTCAACTAGAAGGAAAAATAACAGCACACCGAGGCTCAGAGGAGGCGCAGTGTGGAAAAAACTCAGGTGCGGAGGTGCGCGCGCAAAGCGGGCTGGTGGCTGAGAGCGCGGTTGTCGTTTTCGGTCAGGGGGGAGTCTCAGACTCTGAGCTCCAGATACGGGCGAATCGCTGGGGACTCGGACCCAAACGGGAGAAGCGGGAGTGTCTGGCATCAGTTGGAAGGCAGCTTTCCCTCCGAGGTTTGCAGCGGTTCCGGGGGTTCTGAGAAGCAGAGCCTCTGGGAACAGGACTGAGGGCACCATAACGGCTCCCTCCGCCCGCCCTGTTGAGCCCGCCCCGCCCAAGCCCTGCGCAGAGCCATTTGCCGGATCGCCTCAGGCAAAGGCTAGATTAGCACCTCCCCAGAGGACAGAAGTTTTCCGCGGCAGACACAGCTGATTCACACAGCCAGTCGGCCTGGTGGTCAAATCCCTCTAGTATTAACTACAACAATCAAGGCTCAACTAGAACAAGACTGCGCACAAAGACCACTAGGGGGTGCACCAAGAAAGCATAAAAAATGCGGAGACAAAAAAACATGACAGAAATGGAGGATATAGAGCTAAAAATCGCAATTTTGAGGGCTTGCAAAAATGTGCTAGAAGCTGTCAATAAACTTGAGGAGAGAGTCACGAAAACTAATGAGACCCTCGATGCTATGATAAAGAACCAACTAGAAATTAAGCATACACGGACTGAAATAAAGAATATTATACAGACACCCAATAGCAGACCAGAGGAGCGCAAGAATCAAGCCAAAGATTTGAAATGCGAAGAAGCAAAAAACACCCAACCGGAAAAGCAAAATGAAAAAAGAATCCGAAAATACGAAGATAGTGTAAGGAGCCTCTGGGACAGCTTCAAGCGTACAAACATCAGAATAATTGGGGTGCCAGAAGATGAGAGACAGCAAGATATTGAAAACCTATTTGAAGAAATAATGGCAGAAAACTTCCCCCACCTGGTGAAAGAAATGGACTTACAGGTCCAAGAAGCGCAGAGAACCCCAAACAAAAGGAATCCAAAGAGGACCACACCAAGACACATCATAATTAAAATGCCAAGAGCAAAAGACAAAGAGAGAATCTTAAAAGCAGCAAGAGAAAGAGACTCAATTACCTACAAGGGAATACCCATACGACTGTCAGCTGATTTCTCAACAGAAACTTTGCAGGCCAGAAGGGAATGGCAAGAAATATTCAAAGTGATGAATACCAAGAACCTACAACCAAGAATACTTTATCCAGCAAAGCTATCATTCAGAATTGAAGGTCAGATAAAGAGCTTCACAGATAAGGAAAAGCTAAAGGAGTTCATCACCACTAAACCAGTATTAGACGAAATGCTGAAAGGTATCCTTTAAGAAGAGGAAGAAGAAAAAGGTAAAGATACAAATTGTGAACAACAAACATGCATCTATCAACAAGTGAATCTAAGAATCAAGTGAATAAATAATCTGATGTACAGAATGAACTGGTGATTATAATGAATCAGGGACATAGAAAGGGAATGGACTGACTATTCTTGGGGGGGAAAGGGAAATGGGAGATGCAGGAAAAAAAAAAAAAGTGACAGTACAGAGAGAAGAGGATGATAAAAAAAACACACAAAAAAGCAGCAATATAATGGGACTCTATGAATACTGCCTAACAAAGGACAGCATATCACTTAATGGTGATACACACTGGAGGCATTCTCTCTGAAATTAGGAACAATTTAACACTGTATTAGAGGTGGGGCGGGGGGTGGGACTAGAGCAAGTTAGACTGCCAGAAGCTTCCCTTTCCAGTCAAGATTTAGCTATTTATTTTGAACTTTTTTCCCTCACCTTAGCACTCTTGCAATGTTCTATCACTCATATGGCACTTATTTCATCGTCTTCAAATTCTGAGTATTTGTGTTATTTCAGCTGCTAGGGTGTGAGCTCCTCCAAGACAGGAACTGTGTCTAGTGAATATATTTCCTGTGGCTCATGTATATCATAGACACTTAATATTTACGGAATAACATAAACAGCACCAATCCTGTCTGGTTTACCGCCACTGTTGCAAAAAGGACCAGCAGCCCAGCCCAACCCCAGCTAACCAAATGCCAGGTACAATCATAATCCTGATAAAGCCACATGCTTTTATCTATTTCCTCTATCAGATAAACAAACCCAGAAGGCTTCAAAGTGCACCAAAATAAGGCTCGGAGAAGTGATTCTCCACAACTAGTCATCCTAAAGGTAAACAGAGTGATTCCCCACAGTCAGTCATCCAAAGGGTAAACCATGGTGATGGCAGACAGCCATAAAGTGAGGCTTGAAAAACCCCAGAACACCTCACATTCCCTATAGCTCCTTCCGCTGGTCCTGATGTTGTTGGCCAGGGAAGGAAGATGAAAAGAGAATCGGAGCCCTTTAAAAATTTAAGGTTTTAATTCGAACTTTTAAAATAGCTAGTAAGCCCTGGTTGGTATGGCTCAGTTGGTTGGAGCGTCATCCATATACGAGGTTTTGGGTTTGATTCCAGGTAAGGGTACATACTTAGGATGCTGGTTCGATCCCTGGTCAAGGGACATATGGAAGGCAGCCAATCAATGTTCTCTCTCGCATCCATGTTTCTCTCATGCTCTCTCTTCCTTCCCCTCTCTCTAGCCCAGTGGTTCTCAACCTTCCTAATGCCGCGACCCTTTAATACAGCTCCTCATGTTGTGGTGACCCCTAACCATAAAATTATTTTCGTTGCTACTTCATAAGTGTAATTTTGCTACTGTTATGAATCGTAATGTAAATATCTGATATGCAGGATGTATTTTCATTGTTACAAATTGGACATAATTAAAGCATAGTGATTAATCACAAAAACAATATGCAATTATATATGTGTTTTCCGATGGTCTCAGGCGACCCCTGTGAAAGGGTCGTTCGACCCCCAAAGGGGTTGCGACCCACAGGTTGAGAACCGCTGCTCTAGTCAATAAGCATATCCTCAAGTAAGGATTAAGAAAAAAAAAAAAGCTAGTAATTGGCAGCTATTGCACAGCTTAAGACTGAAAATCTAGTTTCCCTATGATTAAAGCAGTCATTTTATCCATTTTTCTACCACAATAAACCCAATATTTAAGACATCACCTTCCTCCCAACACTCATTTAGGAATGCCTAAGTAGAGGAACAGAGTTAATACACTAAAGTAATTTTTGTCCTCTTCCCTCCCTATTTTGTCAGTGATAATCATAAAGCAGCACCACTTTAATGTCTTGATATAGACTCCATTGTTTAGTCACATTGATTTTATTTCTCAAATTCATCCACCTCCCACTGCCACCAACTAGAGGCCACCATCACCTCATGCCTGGACAACTACAGAGACCTTCTCACTGGTCTGCTTCCCTCCTGGACACCTTCTGGTTGATTTTTCATATGGTAACCAGAATGATTTTGGAAACAGCACTGCCTTTCACTCTGATAACCAACATCCTGTGTGCAACCGCTCATTAAATAAAAGCCATGTAAGATAATTCAGAGAAACCCTTATTTTGTAAATACGGAAATCCAACGCCAAAAGAATACTGAAACCAGGTACCCACGGTCAGACAGAACCGAGGTCAGGATTCGGAATGCATGACTGCACAGATGGGCCTCATTTCAGTGAGCCATACTGCTTCTCCCAGGATGGACTGGTCCAGAGCCTGCTTGCAGGGCCACAAAATACTGTATTTAAATGGATTACCGGAGGCAAGAGGGGTGAGAACCTGGCCTGAGCTGATGCATGAAGGTTCACTCACAGGTAGATCCTCATGTCTCTGGATCCACCATCTCTAGCCAACCAGAGGACAGGGCCGGCATTCTAGATCCAGGACTATGTGATCCACGTGGGGTGCATAGGATTTCACTGGTTGGATGTGCAAGATGTGTGTCTTCCACGGTTTCCCGTGCACCTGCTGAAGCAGACTGACAATTCGAGTTTCTGCAGACTCCGCCCACCTGTGCCACTCTGGCTTGAAGGCTGCGGACAGCACTTTCCTCCTAGAATCCCCAGTAGCTCCATTTTCCCGTTGGTTACTGATAATTTGCTGAGGACAAGGCCAATCCTCCTTCCCCATTTCACTGTTTCCCGAAGGCTGGAGATTCCTCCCTGGGAAAGATTCCACATTTTGGTGGATATGCAAAATGCCCCCGGCATCCTTTCGTAGCACTCGGCAGGCAATCGGCCAGCCTTCTTCAGAGCTGGGAATCAGCCCCAGGTTCACCCGGTCTGCAATGTTTGAGAGGTTCAACTTTCTGTTGTCTCCAAAGTGTATTTGGCACCGACCTGCTACTCCATTGATCTCAAGGTTACGTTTCAGAGCCGCTACCGCGTGGGGGTTCCACTCACAGGCATGGACGAAGGCAGCACCAGCATGAACGAGGAATGGCAACGTAAAATAACCAATCCCTGCATAGAGATCCACCAGCACTTGTCCAGCACAGGGCAGCGATGCCACTCGGAGCTTCTCAGTGATGTTTCCGAAGGAGAACATGCACTGGGTCATGTCAAACGTATACCGGATCCCGTTATCCACATGCTCAACCCAGCCATCGTCGCCCAGCAGCAGAGTCACTGCTGGCGTTCGGGTGCCATCTGGTGAGACCCGCCCTCGTTTGGCCAAACGCTGGACGCCGAGTGCCGAGGCCACTACCCCCCAGAGTTCTGGTTCCAGATGTTTCCACTGCTTGGCTTGGAAACAGTTCTCACTCAGCAACAAGAGGTTACCATGTCGCTGCCAAGATCGGGGCAAATCAGCCTCCAACTCAGCTGACCATGTCACTCCCCGGCCCTCTGCCCAGCGACTCACCTCAAGGCACAGCCGCTGGGCAGGCGAACAACCCTGGGCCTTCCTGGAAGGCACAGGATCCAGGAGCTGCGTCAGTGCACAGGTGCCGCCTGGAGCCACACGACTCCTCAGCTCCCGCAGGTGCTGCTCGGGGAGCGCGTCTCCCAGCACGGGCAGCGCCACGGTGCCGTCCGGCATCTTCTCCACGCGGTGCTGTCTGTCCAGGAGTTTCTCCTTCTCGAGATACTCCCTGCATCGCTGGGTAAACCGCGGCTCAGTCACCACTGCGACCACGGCCGCGGGCTTCCCACCTTCCTTTTCCATGTCGCCGGCCCCACATTCTCGTGGATTCCCTCCACCTCGGCTCAGAGTCCACTCCGCCGCAGCAGGAAGAGAGGCGTGCACGCCGCTGTGCCGGGGACGGAAGTGACGTCACCAGCAAGCCGGAACTAAAGGGTGTCGGTACGCCTCCCGCCGATTGGCGTCATCGTTGCCATGGTGAAGCCGCTACTGCCATCTGTATTGTGATCGCTGGCTACTTGCTTCACCCCAACAGAAAATTAATAACAACAAGGACCTGTGTGGGCTGAAACACTTCAAAATGGTGGGCATCCTCCAGAACCCTCATGCCCTCTCGTCAGGGCTGCTCACGAATCCAAAGCGGGAAGTGAGCCTGGAATGATGGGCCGACTTTGGAGAAAGGCTTCCCATAGCCTCACGCTGCTCTCTCAGGTCAGCACCAGCAGCCGCCTTATCTGCTAGTGAAGAATCAGATGTGGATTCCTCATTCCTTTTCTTGGCAAAAGATAGTCGTCACCATCTCACGGTCCTGCAGTATAAGAAACGAATGTCTGGAAGTCAGGAGGATCTCAGTTTGGATAAATCGTTATCACCTCTCAGAACCAGAATCTTCACCTGTAGAATGGAATAATTTTAACATCTTCAGATGATTGCTATAGTAGTTGGAGATACATACAATGCTTTGAACCGTGACCAGTAAAGAGTAAATACTCAAAAGAGATATAACGTAACACATTGAATTGGTTAAATGGCAGATATATACCGCTTGAAATGCTTTGATATATCTAATGAGGACAAAGGGGAATTATCCAAGCGATAAAATAATTGAAAATAAGAATTGCAAAGAAGCCCTATCCTTTTTACTTACCTCCCACCATTCTACAGATTAGGTAATTAAGACCCAAAGAGATTAACAACTGAGGTCCCCAACTCAGGTGTGTCTGTATGGAAGGCACAAGCTATGGCTAAAACACTTTCTTGTCTCTTCACAGCTATTCATTATCGATCAGAATTTTTTAAAATATATTTTATTGATTTTTTACAGAGAGGAAGGGAGAGGGATAGAGTTAGAAACATTGATGAGAGAGAAACATCGATCAGCTGCCTCCTGCACACCTCCTACTGGGGATTTGCCCACAACCAAGGTACATGCCCTTGACCGGAATCAAACCTGGGACCTTTCAGTCCACAGGCTGATGCTCTATTCACTGAGCCGCCAAAGTCAGGGCCAGAATTGTTTTGTTCAGTTTTTTCTCTATGTTAGAGACTCAGAAATGGAGAAAACATCGACCACGACAGAGTAGAAGACCCTCTTGGGGCCCCATATGCCCTGGGGACTCACCATTCCTGTACATGCCAATGTAATGGCTTCTAGCTGCAAGCATTTGGGAATCTTGGCCTGATGGCTTTCTCTGCTCACCAGAATTATTTTAGCCCAAGTCCAGGGCAGACCAGAAATGCTGGGGAATTCGTGCCCTCCCAGCATTCCACAACCAGTGAGTGATGTGAGTTGGTAAATAAATTTCCCAACTTCCACATACCTTAGTTGCAATACATCTGAGGCATATTCTCTACTGTCTCCCAGAGTTCTCTCAGGACTCTAATTTTTCAGTATCCTCTCTATGAACTGTGCTTTCAATTTTTCTTTCTCCCCCTCTCCTGGATTATTCCTATCAGTATATAATCATGCTGCCATTTGCCAGTATAACCACCTCTCCCGTGACTCTTCATTCCTACTGAAAGAGCTGCAGGAAAAACAGCTCTTGGCCAGAAAGTGTTTTAGTTCTACAACATTGCCACTAGATGGCAGCAATTACCAACACCAAAGTAGTGCAAGCTTTGGAGGAAAGTTACTGGGTTTGGATGTCCAGGGCAAATCAAGGGCCTACTGTTCCCCAGGGGCCTTTCGTCTTTCATCTATTAGACAGCCCTTACTGACAAACTAATTCAGACGTGTGAATGTGTTTGGTAGCAAGTAATGGAAACTCCAACAAACAGCAGCTCAACAATGGGTAGGGAGGTATATATCCCATATCCTACATAATAAAACCCTAATATGCAAATCAACTGAACAGCGGAACGACGATCGCTATGACATGCACTGACCACCAGAGGGTAGACACTCAATGCAGGAGTGACCAGTTTCTATGACAGTGCACTGACCACCAGAGGGGAGATGCTTAATGCAGGAGCTGCCCCCTTGTGGTCAGTGTGCTCCCAGAAGAGGAGCGCCGCTCAGCCAGAAGCCAGGCTCATGACTGGCGAGCACAGCGGCAGTGGCGGGAGCCTCTCCCGCCTCCGCTGCAGATGGGCAATGGGCAATAAGGAGCGAGGGGCCCAGGACTGCAAGAGGGATGTCCGCCTGCCGGCTTAGGCCCGCTCCTAAGCCAGCAGGCAGACATCCCCCAAGGGGTCCCAGCTTCGAGAGGGTGAGGCCGGGCTGAGGGTCCCACCCCCGCCCCCAGTGCAAGAAATTTTGTGCACCGGGCCTCCAGTATTTAATATAAAAATCCAGAGCTGGAATAGCTGTTCAGGGAAATCCTCAGTAAACCAGGCCTCTTCTCAGCCTCTGAACCACTTTCATCCTTGTGGTTGCAAGGTGGCCACTAACTACAGCTCTAGGCTCCGTGAACATATTGAGGCAGGAAGACTAGAGCAGAGCAAAAGAAACAAGAAGGGCCTACCCCAAGGACTTCTGCCTATTCCTCCCGCACAGAAAAGGGTCCCCTCACCACCCATGACTGGGGGAAGTGGGTTGGTCTTACTTTTTGGTTGATTTCACATTTGATTATGGGGATAATTGAAGACACATAAGGGAGGGTATGCAAACATCACCTATTAAGTGACATTCCTCTAGACCAGCAATTTTCAGCCAGTGTGCCTCACGAATTTTTAAAACATGCAATACCTGACTAGTCAGGGGCACCAATCTGTTTTTCCTTAGATTGTCAAATTAAAAAAAAAAAAAAGACAGCAAACATAACAATAGCTGTCCAGTGCAAATGAGTCAAAATTATACCTATTTTTTGGTCAGAGCAGCAAAAATATATATTTTGGATGTGCTGTTGAATTTTAGTAATTACTTTATGTGTGCCATGAGATTAAAAGAAAAAGGTTGAAAAATTGCTGCTCTAGGCTATAGACAGAAAAGCCCCTGGAGTCAACACAGAGACTCTGGAGAGGAGTTAGATGCAGACAGAAAAGAGACATAAGAGCAAAGAGCAGCATCTATGAAAAAGTTTTACTAATTTAAGAAAAGGCTGAGCTGACTCATTGCCATGACCTTCACCCACAAACTCGTATGCATTGCTGGGAAATGTGAATTCAGATTGGGGATCATCTTTTTTAGGACATCCCTCCAGGCGTCTTTCCTTTTCCTCCCATCTGTTGTTTTTGTTTTGTTTTGTGTGTGTGTGTATTTTAAGATTTTACATTATTTTTAATAGTGGCACTGAGGAAAACATAACATTTATCAAGTTCATTGATAAATGGCATTTACTTCAATGTTTTATATTAATTAATCTTTCTAAGAACTCTGTGAGATGTGCACTCTTACTATTCATGTCTTTTACATTATTTTTGATAGTGGCACTGAGGAAAATATAACATTTATCAAGTTCATTGATAAATGGCATTTACTTCAATGTTTTATATTAATTAATCTTTCTAAGAACTCTGTGAGATGTGCACTCTTACTATTCATGTCGTTTTTTTATTTTATTGATTTTTTACAGAGAGGAAGGGAGAAGGGATAGAGAGTTAGAAACATC